GGAAAAGTGATGAGAAAGTGATTGAGGTAGTAAGTGGGACATAGGTAGCTGGGAGGTAAAAGATTTTGAGTTTCATAAGACCTGTTTTAATCTTGTAAAAAAAAAATGAGAACGCTTTGTTTCTCCAGGACATAGAAATTTCACTTTCAACTGAGATTAAAGAGCTTTATAACAGTGTTATCCAATGCTGAAACAGATTCCTTTGTAATAAAATACTTGCTTCTTAAAATCTTTAGAATTTTCTAGTTTTGCTTTTTGTATTTTTTATTCCCCAAAGTGAAAGGTTTAAAGAATAACATTAAAGGTCATTTGGTATTACAATTTTTCAATTAGTCAAAATGAAAAATTTGAAAATAATTTTGTAGTCTATTTGGTATTCTAAGGTTGAATTTTTTTTAAAAAATAAAGCAAATTATGTTTTTTCTACTAACATTTCCTGAATCAACTCACATGAAAATTAATAGATTATGATCATATATGATGATGATTTTTCCCTCACTAAGCATTAGAATATGTTCACTTTACTGCTTATCAGTAGCCCAGCTTCGATTGTCTAATTGAAGTATTAGTGTCCATGTCTGCTCCCTAAACTGGCTAAAGGTCTTGAGCTTTTTACAAAATTTTTTTTTTAATGTGTGATAAAAATATACATAACATAAAATTAATCACTTTCATCATTTTTAAGTATACAAATAAGTGACATTCAGAATACTTACTATGTTGTGTAATCATTGCCACTATTTCCAAAACTTTTTCATCATTCGAAAAAGAAATATTCTACCCAACAAACAGTAACTTGTTATTCTCCTTTGTTTCAACCCCTGATAACCTGTATTCTACTCTCTATGAATTTGCCAACTTACTATAAGCACCTCATATAAGTGGAATCATGCAATATTCTTTTGTTAATACTTGCATAATTTTTACTTAGCATAATGTTTTTCAGAGTGTATGTATTTTGTATCATGTATGGGAACTTCATTTTTTTATGGCTGAATAATCTATTGCAGATGCTCTTTGACTTACAATGGAGTTATGTCCTGATTAGCCCATTTTAAGTTGAAAATACCATAAGTTGAAAATGCATTTAATACCCTGATAAACCCATTATGAGGTTGAAAGATCATAAGCGAAACCATTGTTAAATAAAGGACCATCTGTACGTGTGTGTGTGTGTGTGTGTGTGTGTGTGTATATATATATATTATATATGCAATCTTATATATATGATTATATGTTATATAAGATTATTATATATAAGATTGCATATGTAAATTATAACATATATATAAGATCACACACACACACCCACACACACACACACACACACCTCACAGTTTGTTTATCCGTTCATCTGTTGATAGACTCCATGGTTGTTTTTACCTTTGGCTATTGTAGATAGTGCTACAGTGAACATTGGCATACAAGTATATTTGAATCTCTGGTTTCATCTCCTTTGGGTGTACACATTACAGTGGAATTGCTGTATTATATGGAAATTCTATGATTAACTTTTTAAGGTCCCACCAACCTGTTTTCCACATTGGCTGTACCATTTTGCATCCCCGCCATTAGTGCACAAGGGTTACAGTTTCACCACATCCTTACCAACATTTGTTATTTATTTATTTATTTTTTTATAATAGTCATCCTAATGCATATGATGTAATATCTTATTGTGGTTTTGATTTGCATTTCCCTAATGACTAGGGATGTTTAACATCTTTTCATGTGCTTATTGGCCATTTGTATGCCTTGTCTGGAGAGATGCCTTTTGAAAACCTTTGCCCATTTTGAGAGTAATGGCTTTGTTTTGTTTTTTGGGGTTGTTGTTGAGTTATATATTTTTTATATATTCTGGACCTTGACCCTTAATTAGATATGTGATATGCAAATACTTTCATCCTGTGATGGTATTTTTTGATGCTCAAAAGGTTTTAATTTGAGGAAGTCCAGTTCATATATTTTTATTTCTTTTGTGGCCTGTTTTTGTTGCTGTATCCAATGAATCATGGCCAATCAAGATTTATATAGTTTTAGCTCTTACATTTAGGTTTCTGATCTATTTTGAGTTAATTTTATATGGTGTAAGACAAAAGCCCAACTTCATTTTTTTTATGTTGATACCTAGTTTTCTCAATGCCATGTGTTGAAAAGACTGCCTTTCCACCATTGAATAGTCTTGCTACCCTTGTCAAAAATCATTTGGCCATTTATGTCAACATTATTTCTGTGCTGTTTATTCTATTTTAATGGTTTATAGATCTGTCATTACGGCAGGACTACATTCTTTTGATTATTACAACTTTGTACTAAATTTTGTCTCAGGGCTTAATAATAACAACACTTGAAACCACTGTGTGTAAGTCCTTCTGCCATGACTTTAAGTTTCCTGAGGGCTTCCCAGCCCTGTAGAACTGTAAGTCAATTAAACCCCTTTTTTGAAAATAAATAAATAAATAAATAAATTACCCAGTCTCAGGCAGTTGTTTATGCATGCCTGAGACTGGCCTGAGAATGAACTAATATAGTAAATTGGTACTGAGGGAGTGGGGTGCTGCTGTATGGATACCTGAAAATGTGGAAGCGACTTTGGAACTGGGTGACAGGCGGAGGTTGGAACAGTTTGGAGGGCTCAGAAGAAGACAGGAAAATGTAGGAAAGTTTGGAACTTCCCAGAGACTTGTTGAATGGCTTTGATCAAAATGCTGATAGTGATATGGACAATTAAGTCCAGGCTGAGGTGGTCTCAGGTGGAGATGAGCAACTTATTAGGAAATGGAGCAAAGGTAACTCTTACTATGCTTTGGCAAAGAGACCGGTGACATTTTGCCTGACTATGCCATAGAAAAAACCATTTTCCGGGGAGAAATTCAAGACAGCTACAGAAATTTGCATATTTAACGAAGCCCAGTGTTAATCACCAAGACAATGGGGAAAATGCCTCCAGGAAATGTCGGAGACCTTCACAGCAGTCCCTTCCATTACAGGCTGCTAGGAGGAAAAAATGGTTTTCTAGGCAGGGCCTCGAGTTCCCCCTGTTCTGTGCAGTCCTGAGGCATGGTGTCCTGCATCCTAGTTGTGTCAGCTCCAGCGATGGCTTAAAGAGGCAAGGGTGCAGCTCGGGCCATTGCTTCAGAGGGTGCAGGCCCCAAGCCTTGGTGACTTCCACGTGGTGTTGGGCCTGTGGGTGCACAGAAGTCAAGAATTGAGATGTGGGAATCTCCTCATAGATTTCATAGGATGTATGGGAATGCCTAGATGTCTAAGCAGAAGTCTACTGTAGGGGCAGAGCCCTCACGGAAAACCTCTGCTAGAGCAATGTGGAAGGGAAATGTGGAGTTGAAGCCCCCAAATACTCCCCACTGGGGCACTGCCTAGTGGAGCTGTGAGAAGAGGGCCTTGGTCTTCCAGATCCCAGAATGGTAGATCCACTGACAGCTTGCGCCGTGCACATGAAAAAGCTGCAGACACTCAAAGCCAGCCCATGAAAGCAGGCAGGAGGGGGCTGTAGCATGCAAAGCCATGGAGGCAGAGTTGCCCAAGGCCTTGGGAACCCACCTCTTGCATCAGTGTGACCTGGATGTAAGATGTGGAGTCAGAGGAGATCCTTTTGGAACGTTAAGGTTTAAAGACTTCCCTATTGGATTTTGGACTTGCATGGGTCCCATAGCCCCCTTTTTTTTTTGCCAATTTCTCCCATTTGGAATGGATGTATTTACCCAATGCTTGTACCCTTCTTGTATCTAGGAAGTAACTAACTTGCTTTTGATTTTATAGGCTTATAGGTGGAAGGGACTTGCTTTGTCTCAGATGAGACTTTGGACTTGGACTTTTGGGTTAATTCTAGAGTGAGCTAACATTCAAGGGAACTATTAGAAAGGCATGATTGTGTTTTGAAATGTGAGGACATGAAATTTTGGTGGGGTTAGGGGTGAAATGATGGGGTTTGACTATTCCCCCACCCAAATGTCATCTTAAATTGTAGTGTCCATAATCCCCACATATTATGTGAGGGAACTGGTAGGAGGTAATTGAATCATGGGGGTGGTTACCCCCATACTGTTCTCATTATAGTGAGTGAGTTCTCATGAGATCTGATAGTTTTATAAGGGGCTTTCCCCTCTTTGCTTGGCACTTCTCCTTCTTGTCACCATGTGAAGAAGGACATGTTTGCTTCTCCTTCTACCATGATTGTAAGTTTCCTGAGGCTTCCCCATTCCTGCAGAACTGTGAGTCAATTAAACCTCTTTTCTTTATCGATTACCCAGTCTTGGGTATTTCTTTACAGCAGTGTGAGAACAGAGTAATACAATTATTTTGGCTTTCCAGGGTCCCTTAATATTTTTTATAGAAAAACTACAGGCATGCATGATCTTACTTGTGTTTCACTTTATCAAATTTTGAAGATATTACATTTTTTACAGATTGAAGATTTGTGACAACCCTGAAATGAACAAGTCTGTTGGTCCTATTTTTCCAACCATGCATGCTCACTTTGTGTGTCTGTGTCACATTTTGATAATTCTTGCAATATTTCAGTATTTCAAACTTTTTCATCATTATTATATCTGCAGTGGTTATCTGTGATCAGGGTATTTGATGTTGTTATTGTAATTATTTTGAGTACCAGAAACTGTGCCCTCATAAGATGGTTAACCTAATAAATGTGTGCATGTTGACTGTTCTATCAACCAGCTATTCTCCCATCTGTCCTTCCCTGGCCTCCCTATTTACTTCCTATTCACTTCATTGTGTTACTGAGACATAGTAATATTGAAATTAGGATAATTAACCATACAGTGGTCTTTAAGTGTTCAAGTGAAAGAAAGCATTGCATATTTGTCACCTTAAATAAAAAGCTAGAAAACAATTAAGCTTACTGAGGAAGGCCTGTTGAAAGCTGAGACAAGCCAAGAGGTAGGCCTCTTGCAAACAGTTAAGCTATGAATGCAGTGGAAAAATTCATGAACTAATGAATGATGAGAAAGAGAAACAACCTTATTGCTGATATGGAGAAAGTTTTAGTTGTCTGGATAGTTCAAATCAGCCACAACATTCCTTCAAGTCAAAGCCCAATCAAGAGTAAGATCCTGTTTCTTTTCAATTCTGTGAAGGCTGAGAGGTGAGGAAGCTGCAGAAGAACATTTGGAAGATAGCAGAGGTTGTATTAATGAGGTTTAAGGTAAGAGACCATAACATAAAAGTGTATGGTGAGCTGTAGCAAGTTATCTATATCTAGTCAAGATAGTTGATATAGGTGGGTACATGAAATAACAAATTTTCAGTGTGGATGAAACAGCCTTCTGTTGGAAGAAGATGCTATCTAGAACTTTTCATAGCTGGAGAGAAGTCAATGCCTAGCTTTGAAGCTTTACAGGACAGGCTCACTCTCCTAAGAGGATAATGGAAACTGGTGACTTTAAGTTGAAGCCAGTGCTCATTTACCATTATGAAGATCCCAAGGCCCTTAAGAATTATGCTAAATCTACTCTGCCTGTTCTCTATAGACAGAACAACAAAGTCTGGGTGACAGCACATCTGTTTATAGCATGGTTTACTAAATATTTAATGTGGGTCTCCCATGTATGTTTAGAGGATCTCTACCATTATAAGAGAATTCTTCAAAGATCCTTCCTGGATAACCTCATTTCTGTTCCTATCCTCTGCTGAAAAGATTGATTGGACCTGTTAGTCACACACCTAATCTCTTCAGAAAAGGATTTTCAGCCACGTCCTTGGTCCTTCTCCAGAGCATGCTTTATCATCTTTTACAATTTAGATAGGTTAAGAATTTTCCAAATCATAGACTTTTCTTTGCTTAACAATTTCTTCCTCAGTTTATTTCTTTTTTCTCACATTTTACTGTAAGCAGCTAGGAGAAAACAGTGTACACTTTAACACTTTGCTTGGAAATCTCCTCAGCTGCATATTCAAGTTAATTGCTTACCAAGTTCTAATTTTCGCCATATAGAAGAACACATTTCAGTCAAGTTTTCTGCCACTTTACAATGAGGACTGCTTTTTCTTTCCAATATAATGTTCTTCATTTTCTTCTTGAGACTTCATCAGAAACCTTTAATGTTCCTGTTTCTACCAACATTCTGTTCACGATAATATATGTATTCTTTAAAGTAATAGAAGCTTTCTTTACTTCTTTTCTTTCTGAGCCCTCAGCAGAATTCTCTTAAGATTTCTTTTTCTACCAAAAATGTCTTCAAGGCAATCTAGGCTTTTTCTATTTTTAGGTATCTATTGCAGCAGCACTCCATTTTTTAGTATGAAAATCTATGTGAGTTCTCTAAAATTATCATAACAAATGAACAAAATCTTGTTGGCTTAACATACAGAGATTAATTTTCTCACAATTTTGGAGGTCAAAAACACGAAGTCAGGTGTCAGCAGTGCCATGTTTATTTTTCCAAATAAGATCATATTCTGAGGTTCCAGGTGAACATGAATTTCGGTAGGGGAGGCAGGAAGGGTGAACATTTCTCAACTTACTATAGTCTCTTTTTAGGTAATTATATTATAAATGATATTATATAATCTATGTACAAATTCTAAAAATTTCAAGTCTTGTAAGTAATTATTATGACATTATTTTACAGCATATTAATACCTTTAATGTTAATACTTATACCTGTATTAGAGAGTGCTGAACGGGAAGATCACTTTTCTTCTTAGACTTTATAATATATATTAGAAGTAGGGGGTTATTTAATGTACTTTGGCTTTTTCATGTGGATATTGCACATTACATGTACACACATATGAATAAATTACACTAAAATTCTATTGATTTAGAGAAGTTGATTACTCAATATTTATTCACATCAATGTAGTAAGATCCTAAGTTACCTAAATTAACTCTTTATTAGAAAGTGGTTGTCTCCAGTTTTTTATAACGGGTGTGTGAGATTAAATTTCCTTGAAATTTTCATGTTTCAAGATAGAATTTAAAGCAGTTTCTTTAATTAAATAACTCAGAGGAAAATTGTTATGAATAACATATAATTTAAGTATATTTACTTGTGTCTTCCAATTATGTGAGAGTTTTAAGATTGTTAAGATCAAGCATGGTGCTTGTAGGTGAATGAAAGGATATATTTAAACAGACTATTGTTATAGGAGAAAACTCATTTTTAAAGGTATTGGGATAAAAGAAAAGAAGTGGTAGGGTCATAAAGAGAGGAGATTGAATTAAAAATTTGGATTAATACAGAAATGCATTACAAAAGAGAAGGAGGATAGATTAGCAGAAATGAGGAGTTATCAGAAAAGTGAAATGTGTAAAGCCAAAGGCAAGAAATAGGATAAGAAGACTAAGGAGAGCAAAAGATGGTAAGTAATACAATTAATAGTTGACTGCTAAAGACTAGTAGATTAATATATCAGAGTTTCTTTCAGCTTCAGTCAAATTAATTGTAATTATTAGAGTGTAATCATATTTCTTGTATCATTCGCCCAAGTCAAACTGCTTGTGTCATTTTGCCAGAAAATAGGAACCATTTTACATATTCGTTAAATTTCAAGTAAATGTTATATTATTTATATATTAATAACATATTGATATGTGATATTGTATATGTAATTATATATATTTAATAGTGAATATGCACATATTATCTTGTTTTAAAGGCAAAAATTTGCTTTTCCTGGTAGACACTGAAAGGTCACATGCAAACCCACTAAAAGCAAACTTTAACATTTCAAATGAAAATAAATTTTTTTTCTCAGTCATAAGAACTGACCTAAAATTTTTATAGTTGACAGTGAGGCAGGTTTTGACATCCAAGTCAGTACCAAAAATATTGTTTTGCTTTTGTCATATTATAACTGGTCATGAGGTTTTTTTACAGTATCACCACATTCCTCATATTCAGTGCATATCTAATTAGTCTTATATCACCAGCATTGCAATCTGCTTTTCTACTCCTTTTTTTTCCTTTAAAATTAACCTCAGTTATTCATGGTAACCTGTAGAAGTTAATGTTTGTATCCTGTCTATATCTCACTTTAGAAGAGTTTAATGAACTGTTGATGGTTGCTTTGTCAACTCATTTAACTCTTGGACCATAGTTCTTTCTAGATTGATATCATATAATCTATTAGCTATTACTTTCTTCTTTGACCTAAATTCTCTGGTGGATAAAGGACATTAATACCCTTTTTTTAAGTTATTTTTTCCAAAGTGTCATCAAATTCCTGAATTCAAGATCTCATTGACCCATTAAGGGGAAGATGCACCTTTGCAATTATTGTTCAGTCATAGTATATGCTAATTCAATTCAATATGGTTCAAAAAAGCTTTCACCTAATATAATTTTGATTTCCTGCTTTAGGATTCCTGAAATCATGGATCACCCATGTATGCTTTGAGACGTGCTTCATTTTTTTTTTTTTTTTCTGGAAGCCCTGCGACTTCCCTAAAAATTGAATGAATTATAGAACAGATTTACGGTAAGTGAGCTTTTCCCTCCTTTTTTGTCTGTCGATTTCATGTTCAACTTAACACTTATGACTGTTGTAATACTGCTCCCTGCTGGACACAATGTAATTTTGTAAAGTTGGCATTTAATAGATGGGCAAATAACTAGTTTGTTGGACCCACTAAGGAAGGGGATCCTTGGCTGCATTCACAAAAACCAATAGTATTCAACAAAAGCAATATTATTATAAAGGTGCTATACCATTGCCATCATATTGTTACCTGGAGCCTGATGAAAGTACTGATAGTCTTGTTTCAAAATTTCATTGTCTGCGTCCTGTTGAGCAGTATCTAAAAGTTGTAGTAACTGTACATATTGAAGGATGCTTCTAGGTGGAGGACTTTGAGGATTTTGTAAATCGTGTGGTTTTTTGGTAATGTAGATTAATTTACTATTATTATCTCTTCCGTAGTAATTTCCATTCCCTTTACTTTTGTTTTTCCAAAGAAAATATAAAGATTGCCCCAGTGTAATTTACATTAGACATTGTATATCTATGCTGTAATCCAGCTATCATGTTTTCTAGTACTCACAGTGTGGATTTCATCTGTAGAGTCTGTGACCTACCAGTCATGGACCTTCATGTTGTGTGCATACACAGGTGCTCCCAGAATTATTTTTAAATGTGTGAAAATTAAAAGTGTGTTTCTTCCTACCTTAGAACTATTGTATTTTTTGGAATGCAGCATACCTCAAATTATTACCTGCATTATCATTTGGAATTTTTTTTTTAAATAAGCATACATTTTCTTGAAAAGAAGGAAGAGTGACAGAAACAACATGGAGCTGCTAAGCCAAGATGTAGCAGGATAACTGATCTTATATTATTTAAAGGCCTGGTATTTTTTTGTAGCCATTGAGTAAGCCTCTGAAATCTACTTTTAATTAGGATTGTGAAGAATTAGGCATAGTAACTGATTTCTTTATTATTAAAATATTGCAATAAAAATTAGAAATGTAGAGCAAGGAAATTGTTGATAGCAGAAAGGAGTCCTTCCTTTTTTATAAAAATATATTAACGTTATTTTAGAAAGTATATAATTATAACTTTTTGTTATAAAATGTAGTGATACAGTAATGTAAGGTTATAACAATGAATAATTATAAATTAAACATATAGCAAACATCTATGTAACCACAGAGTTTTACTGGCATCCCAGAAACCCTTGATATACTCTTTTTTTTCTTTAGAGGTAACTAGTATCATGACATTTATGGTAATTATTTATACAACTTTCAATATAATTTTGTCACTTTACATGTATTCCCAAGCAATATATTTACTTTTTTGCCTCTTTTTTATGGAATTGTATATTCTTTCTTCCTTTACTCAGCATTATGTTTTGAAGAGTTATCCATATAGTTATTTGTAGTTTTACTTCATTCATTTTCGTTACTCTATACTATCCCTTTGAATTAAATGTGCCCGAATTTATTCATCCATTCTACTGTTAGTAGATCATTGTGTTGATTTTAGTATTTGATGACATTGCTGAGAATGCTTTTTAAAAAATATCCTGGTTACATATCATGTGTTTTTGTATTTTTAATCTGTCAGGTGAGTATTTTGGCTAGAAAATATTTAATTCAGTATCACAGGATATTGATTATAGTGACATTTTAAGTGAGTTAAGATGACTACATGAAAAATTTGTTATATCCTGACAGTAACAATATTAAATGTTGGGGAAGATTCTAAAATGATTTTCATTTCTTTTATTGTAGGCCTTATATATATAGTAAAATGACATATAGT